ATGTTAGAGGCTTACACGTCTGTTCATTAAATTACTGTTGACTTTTATTCATTGACATTCCATAAATGGCAAAGTTAAGGTTAACAGTATAAATAGGGGTGCTGAGGATTATGAAGGGGGAACCCATGCAATTAAAAAAAATGGCTTACATAACCTGATATCATAATAGACAGAATATTTATTTAACTTGCAGTAAATTGACACACCTCTAGACAGAGACAATTATGACTGACTGTAAAACATCTGACAGAACCAATTATGACTGACTGTTGTTTGCTACCTTTGCACAGAAATAAATGAAACACAGATATTTGGAACAGAGACTGCTGCCTGTGTGTCTAAGCTTGCTGTAATTAAAATACAATAACCAGTAGGCGATGTAAAAAATTCAGTAGCTAATTTAGTATGTTCTTTAACTCTTTTGACGCTGTACATAAATGATACTCCACAGCTGCTTTTTGTGCATTTCCAGATAAACCAACGTTTCAGCACTATGCCTATAGGCACCTACGTTGTTTCTCACGTACCGGGTGCAGATACACACACAAATGCAAAGGAATGTGCATATATTTTTACTTCTCACTCTGAAGAGCAGGCTATCAACAGAATAATCAGGGGGAGAGAGCTTAATAATCTGACACAGTTTGGTTGTCCAATCAGTAGGAGAAAAAACAGAAGACTTTCACCGAGCCACGTCTTAGGGAATCCAAGAACAAAAGTTCTTGACCCTGACTATCAGGTTATTCAGTGTCATTTTAATAGGAACGAAGAGAAATTGCAATAAATGGAAAACACATGGCCAGGTGTAGATAACCTCCAAATACTTCCATCCTTGCTTCCAGCATCAGTACAACAGTATGGGGTAAATGGATTTCAGATTTTAGATTTTTTTTTTTTTTCCTCCAAATAATACAAAAATGTGGCTAGGTAGCTAAACAAGGACTTGGATGGGGTGCTGAATTTCACAGGGACATCCAGAAGTTCAGACTCTGTTTTGTGAAGGGAACAAGGGGGCAGTTATGTTGGGGGGAGGGGGGTTAACTGCATGCTTGGTGATACGATTCTAAAATCTTTACCAGAGTCATGATTTCTTAACTTTAGAGAATACAGTACCTGAATTTTAATTATATACAGTCAGAAATATATCTTCCTTTTTTTTTTTTTAATTTCTACTAAAATAATATTATTTTTCATTTGTATGTTTGTTTTGGTAGTATCTTTTGTATGCTCTGCATGTGTATAAATATATCTCTTTATGTATAGCCATATATGCATTCTGCAGCAGTGGTCGTCTTAAAAGATTGCTTGCCACTGAACTTGGATATTATTAGGGACGACAGTGGGGTGATAACTATTTTGGAACGTGACCGACTACTGAAAGGCAGTTTCAGCCGGTTTGTATAGCTTAGTTTTCAGAAGGCCTTAGGTGCGTTATTGATTAAATTCTCATTTAGGAAGAAAGTAGGAGCTTTTATATGCATCTGTAAGTTGGGTGGTATGGTAACTCGAAGGTATTGACTGGCTGTGTGATATACGACGGTCACAGTTGTCTTTTACTCAGAGGAGCACAGAGTGATGCTGGTTGTCATTCTTACTCTGCTGTGTGGCAGCGTAAATAGTCCCTTTCTAACCAACCTGGTGGGAAAAGTCAATATCCCATCAGCAAAGGAGGTAAACACATCAGGAGCTGTGTCCTCTCTCATCTTACCCTGCTCTGTATTACTACAGTTCTTTAAATCTCTTCTCCCCAGTCATCAGATGCACTTGTGTCATTCAAATGCATGGGGTGGCTGTGCTGCAGACACAGCCGCTGCCTGCCTCTCCTCCTGGAGCTCCCGGCTCCCATTCTCTTATAATTGAAACTTAAAATTGGCCTCATTACTTCAACGAGGCCCCTCATATTTCTCCATTTTTTTCAGTCCACCCTTTCCTGCTTGCCTCTACAGGGGTAATTGCATCTAAGAAATGTTTGAAGCATGCTGCCAGAAAGGTTATCGCATAAAATTAAAGTTTAGATTTAATGTTGGGGGGGAGCTAGGCGCTCTGCTAGTGGGGCGGCTGGAGCCTGAGTTGGGGCTGTATGCGGGCCTGCAGTTTTGTTCTCCACTTTTGGCCCTGGTTTATTTGTTTGCCTCGTTGTTCTCGTGATTAATGTGCCTTCCTGCTCTGTTCACATGTGCCAGCTGTTCCTGCGCATTGATACGTTTCGCCTTGGTCCTTCCTGAGCTCCAGGAAGCTTTAAACTATTTTAGCCTAGTTCTGAGCTACAAGGATGGTATTTTCCACAGTTTCTCAGTATGAAGAGCATGGTTTTGCGAACATGTGAACAGTGGCAAGTGAACCCACTTACTATATCATTTATCTTATCATTCAAGCATTGGAACGGGCTGCCCAGGGAAGCGATTGAATCACTTTTAAACACCCTGGAGGCATTTAAAAAATGTGTAGACATGGCACTTAGGGACATGGTTTAGTGGCGGACTTGACAGTGCTAGGTTAATGGTTGGACTTGATGATCGTAAAGGTCTTTTCCAACCTAAACGATTCTCTGGTTCTGTGATCTTGCAAATGCATAAACTATTTAGTGCTGAATTTGTGGCAGGGTGGGTTTGGTGTTTTTATGGATCTGGTCATTACAATTTTTGAGACTTCATTTAATTAAACCCTCCATTTAAATAATTTCAAGATCATTAAATGCGTTTATGCCATAATGACTTCAGTCCGTTAATGAACAGATCCTTGTAATCAAAGTTTTTATTGTATTGGTGGTGTAGTTTAAGGAAATTTTAATTCTGCTAATGGACATAAGGTCATTACTGTCTGGGTAATGGTAAGAATGTGGTATCTTCAACTAGGCATCTTCCCCTGTTTGCTTACTGCTCAAAGTTGGCAATATAAATACCCAAAACTGAATCTGACAGCACAATGCATACCTTCTTCACAAGGACGCATGAAAGGTGCTTACCAAAGTGCTTTTAATCAACGTATTCAGTTACTCAAACTAGCATCATTAATTTAAATTTTAATTTAATTTTTAAAGATTTGATAGCATCATGCAGAGCAATTGAGTACAGTGGAACTTTGTGAATAACATGGAAAACCTAAGCAGGTGGCAATTGCTCAGTAAAACATTACTGTTTGTATCGTATCCAATAGTTAATCTGCTGAAACATCTGAGGCTCTGCAAAAATATTCATAAATCCTCAGGGAGGAGGAATTCACAAACCCCAAAATTGTAATAGCTGTTTCCGTTACCATGCCTCCCTTCCCTGCCATCTCCTCGTGTAGCAGTTCTTGACTTGGCTGCTGAGACGAAGGTGCATCCGAAGGGACGTCTTCAGCTCAGTCACATCACAGAAGTGAGTCATTGCAAAAGTAATTTCTTCCCTCACACAGGTGGACTCAAAAAACCAGCATGTCCCTCTCCTCTTACATAAACTCAGCTGTTTTAGAGACGACTGTTTTTTCATCTTAATTTGTGCCACGTAGTAAAAGCCATTCGAGAGGGGATGGAGGCTCCTTTGTTACATGTGCAAAGCATGAGGAGGGCAGCACCAACGTTGGGAAGGTGTCAGGAAGAAATGAGACAACAGCTTTTAGGCAAAGCTAATGAGCAGCAGCAGGATCGTGTTGGTCGCTCACAAGACACATGCTTACGCTGCGCGTAAATGGCTTGAAAGCTCGACCTCAAAGTACCTGTGCCGTGCTGTCATAGTTCTGCTTGACCTGGAGTCCCTCCAGCCTAACGGGGGGGGGAACTGTCTGCGAGGGCAGCTCGTTTTGCAATATATCCTTCTTCTCTGCTCAGTAACGCAGACTGTCCAGCACTGCCTGTTCCAAGGTGTAACTGCAGACGCAGGCTTTCAAGTAGGAGCTGGTGTTTCTAGCACATGGAGTTGGTTGGAAAGGAGGAGCACAACTGCGCCAGATCTGCATCAAGTTGGCGTTGATGTGTATCAGTAGAGTATTTTGCTCGTCCGGTCTTTGTCCACAGCCATTGTAAAGCAAGAGACGGACACCCACCCAAACAAAATCCCTGGATTTTTTTTGTATGGCATAAAATTTAACAAAAAAAATTACAATAGAACAGTTTGGGCTCCGCTGCTGAAATACATACAAACTTGTGCATGTGAATTTGTACGCACACAAACGTACAAGTGAGTAAATGTTTTGCACTCCAGACATTTCGTCACAGGTATTATTGATCAAGCATTTGGGAATGGCTCTCCTCATTCTCGTGTCAGGTGAACCTGATGTCTCCTGGTTGAGATAGTGGGCATCTTCTCTCCGTTTTAGGGTAGGATAGCATGGAATATCCCCCGTTTGTGCTACTGCCCTTTTCCTTCCAATGCCTCTGTAGTGCTGAGCATCACAATTCCCATCCTGCACACAAGGTTCATGTGAGAACGCCCAAGATGGGCGATAAGTCTGTCCCAGGTTGTGCCAGTGCCAGCATTGGTGGCAGCAGGGACGAGAGAAGCGGAGCACGGTTCCCTTCACTTCTGAAGCCGAACTTGGGCACCGTCTCTCCCTACTTCAAACCCCTGGGGACTCTGAGCAGTTCTCACTAAGTTAAGGCACCTACTCATTTTAAACGACATCCTTTCAGAGCCAGCCCTGCTATCGCTTATTTTCTCTGCTGTGACTTGGTGAACCCCCATTTCACTCCAGTTAGACTGTGTGACCGGGCAAGCGGCGCTTCTGGCCAGCTCCTGGCAGGAGCCGCTGCACCCCACGCCGCCGGGGCTGAGGGAGCCTCAGCCTGGCCACCGTGTGCGGGTTCGGCATGGCCTCTCACCGGCTCCTGCAGCGCTGCGGCTCAGGAGGCAGGGGGAAGGCAGCAGAAGGTGGGAGAACTTGCCGTAAATGTCGTCTTTGCTAGCTACGACATTCACCTTGTTTTAAAATACCACGATTCAAAGTAGTAGTGAATGCAAAAGTACTGTCTTTCTGCGGTCATTTAATCCTTCTCTGTGTTTTGTCTTCCTTTGTTCTTTTAGAGTATGTGAAGAAGTCACTCAGGAATGAAGTCTCTGAGGCCTACAAAAGACTGAAGAGCACCGTAGACAAATGTCTGTCCATGAGTGGCTACTCAGAAGTGAACCTCGGCAAACTCTTTACCTTCAGTATAGGAAGATCGGTGGGAGAGTCCAATAATGAAAGACAGTAATTGATTAAAAATGGAGGGAGACCAGAGGCTAGTTCCTTGTTTAACAGTAACAATCTCTTAAGCAATACCCTATTTCAGTATGCACAGTGATGTTTTAATAATCTTGTCTCTTCGGAGGACTAAGAATGGAAGATGAAAACAGGATGTGTGATACACGTGGAAATGAAATATTCGAGGTGGTTTTATCTTCCGTTCTTTTCTTCATTGAGAAGCCGGGGTTATTAAAATACAGAGTAGTTGATTTTTGCAGTATGTTTTGTTGTGTATTTAGACCTATAAGGGAAACGGGGGTGGGGGAATTGCTGCTTTAATTGGATAATTCCCAGTGAGAGTTGCTGGAATGTAAGTGATCCTAGACTTTGCTCCAGGGTATTTAGTAGAGGTGCTGTTGGGAAGAGAGGTTAGTAGGGGTCTCAGTAGGAGCACTAATGTTTTGCCTTTTCACAGTTTATCTTCTTCCTGATCATAAACGTACCAATTAAAAACAATACTAAACCTAAATGCCTTTAAATGTCCTAATACCTTCTGAACTGAGGGACACTTTACTTTCAAATTTATTAAAGGTAAAGAATGACTGAAACCTGGAGGTGTTAAAAATAGGGACCATCTTTTTATTAAGAGTCTTTCGGTGCGTCTTTAAGCATAATATTTTGCCATGTTGGAAATTTCTGCACAGATATAAAGACGTGCACATGTACAAAACCAGTTTCGGATATAGACAGGACATAAATGTATTTCAATTCTTTCCATGCGAAGTATTTGAAAGTAAGCAATCGATGGGGAAAAGTATGTTTGCGATGGCATTGTAACCAGTAACGGGGGGAAGGGAAAGCGGAGAATCATTGTTGCTGTTCTGTAGTAATTACTGTATTGGGGGTTTTAAAGGTTTTATAAACAAATTGTGTTTCTCATTTACTTTTAATAAAATGACAAGCAGAGATGACAAGAAAAGAGCATAATATTGGCTATGTGCTTTTGTACACAAAATATTGTTGTATTCATGTTCGCTGTTAAGTTTGCAATGTGATAAATTAATGTAAGGTTATAAAAAATTCCTCTTGAATCTTTAACAGTATAAAATGTGAAGTTGTCTTAACACTTGAAGGAAAAAAATAAAAGTTTTCTAGTAAAAGAGAAGTTGATTTGATCATCTGACTGTTGAAAATACTCCGTGTGAGGTCGTATGGCTCCCAACTTTTCCGGGTTTTACAGAAGTGCTTGTGTGTCCCTTTTTAGGCTGGCCGGCCATTAACAAAGGGGGCTTGAAGAAAAAGTAAAAGCATCAGCACGACCGTGTTGGGCACCGGAGGGATACGCGTGTCTGTCTGCGTTGGAGTATTTTATGACATTCGTTTGTCCCTATTGCGGCGTCGGCAGACGCTGCATGTCAGTAAGGGTAGCGTCTGGTCGAACATGCCTAAATACACGGTTGTCTTCTGAGCAACTTTTGGGGCTAAATCCTTTCACTTTTAACTCCCGCCGAGTTGCGGTCTGTGAGAAATCGCACCTGCTCCATCCCTGGTTCTGTCTTGGTGTTGTCCCACCCCCGGTGAGCTGTCTGTCCTTCCTTCCCAACGTGTTTGGCTGGGTTATTGTAAAGGAGACTTCCTTTGGAGGCCGGCCTTGGAGAGAAGGTGTTGCTGCCTAGATGACACGTTGGTGTTGCAGCTCTTTGAAAGATCCTGGCTTCCTGTAATTTCACGCAGGTTTTTTTAGCTTTTTCGTGTCCAACCCAATTAGGATTATGAAGATATTACTGATATTAACCGGGTAGAATGCCTTAGGAAAGTGAAAAGTGTGACCTTCTCCTCCAAACGTTAGGTATACAAATAAAATGGGTAGATACGGCATAACCTGACCCTGTGGCACTTGTATGTATCTGTATAATTACAGCTGAAGAGCCTGTTAATTTGCAAGTTTAGGGATGTTTAGATTAAATGAGAGTGTTGTGGAATGATTGTGTAGGGCGCAGCAGCATTATAGTAGCCCTGCGAGGGGC